CTACGAACGTGTAAGGAAGCGGTACTACTGGCGTGGGATGTTTACTTTTGTTCGACAGTTTATTCGCGGCTGCCACGAATGTCAGCGACGAAACAGCCACCGAATCTAGGAGAAGCTTCAATGCAGCCGCTTGTGTGCCGCAACGCCCATTCGATCGCGTTGTAATTGACCTTTATGGGCCACTGCCATTTACCACAGCAGGTAACTGGTGGGCTATCGTTGCTGTAGATCACCTGACACGGTACGCCGAAACCGCTGCTCTTCTTACGGCAACCGCTCAGGGACGTCGCATCTTTCATCCTCCATCGGTTTGTGTTGCGTCACGGCCTCCTCGCGAGCTCCTCAGTGACCAGGGCCGTAAATTTCCATCCGACGTAATCCAAACACTTCTCCGTCAGTGCCATATTGTACACCGGATGAACACTGCTTACCACCCTCAGACGAATGGCCTGACTGAGTGGTTTAATCGGACCCTGGGTGACATGCTCGCGACGCATGTGGCATCTGACCAAACGAACTGGGACCTGGTTTTTCCGTTTGCGACCTACGCGTACTACCGCTACCCAAGTCACCACCGGCCTTCCCCATTCTTCCTTCTATACGGACGTCAACCATCACACAATTGACACTTTGCTGCCACACGCACCAGATACATCCCTGCACGACCATGTCTGAAGCCACCCGGCACGGCGAAGAATGCCACCAACTAGCGAAGCAGTTTACTACGGCTGAACAGCAACGCCAGAAAAAGGCCCCGATAACGACCACCCTCCTGCCACAAAGTTCGCCCTTGGAACAGTTGTATGGCTGTATGTGCCACCCTGTGCACCTGGTTTGTCCACCAAGCTACTTTCAATTACCATGGTCCATACCGCGTGGTAGAGCGCACATCGCCCGTCAATTACGCCATCGAACCGCTTACGCCACTCGTGACCATCGTCGGCGTGGACACGTGGACCGCTGAAGCCGTACTTCGGCCTGCTCTTTCCCCCCTTTTAGATCGCAGGATGGCTTCATCTTTCTCGACGGGGCAATTGTAATGAAGAAATGATGACAACACCAGAGACACAGCATCATCGCAGAGTAAGGAACCATGACATCGGCGCTCTAGCTCCGCCATCTTCCTCGCCCTGTCGCCATCTAGAATCTGCACCTGCCCATTAGGTTCACCTAATAAACATCTTTACAATAATAAAATAATAATAATAATAATAATAATAATAATAATATGATCATAAGACGCTTTTTCACCACCTGTACATAACGGTCAACTCATAGTGTTCTTCATCTTCCTTGTTAGAGGGAATAGCTCTGGAGTCTTTTCTGTGCCTCGGATGTGACTGCTTTAGCAACGTATTCTACGCCTCATAAAGGTGTTTAAAGGACTACGTCACAAGTGGTATAGGCCGCTCCTAGGTTCCTCCTCCCTGCTTGCCCGCTTAACCTTGTGGAGCTTCGCGGAGGTCACTGTCCAGGCCACTTGTACACCAGCATGTCACAGGACGAACCAGCGGGCACTTTTAAATGCGAAGTATTTCTTAGCGAACTTCAGCAACTTTGAGCGTATTCATCTATTTATCTAGCCGCCTACCGCTTTTAGCTCTCCGGTCCGTTTCGATAATGGTATCGATGCCGAACTTGGTATGGCATAACATGACTGTATGAACAATATATCCGACTAGTCATAACATGAAATCATGACATGTGTGTCGTTAATATCATGATTTACATATTGTGGTCCGGCAGCTCTTGCTGTGCTTTTGTTTACACAGCATGTTGCAAAACAGGTATGGTATGACATGATTGCATGGTTAACACAAGCGACAGGCCCTAACATAAAAATTGTGACATTCGTGTCATGTAACAACATGACTACATGCCATGCGATGCTCATGATGCGCTCGTGGCCGTTCCGCTAGCGTCACTATATCATACTTGGTATGACGGTACGTGAAGGATAGCGAAGGTATGTGATTGGTGCAAACATGATAATCATTAGATGCGTGTCGTGTAACAACCTGTCTACATGCCACGCTCAAGATGCTTAAGTGGCCGTTTCACTAGCTTCACTTATACCAAATTTGGAGTTACGGGAACTGAATGAGCGCTGATGATATGATACTGGTGCGAACATGATAAACATGAGATTCGTGTCATGTAAAACATGACTACATGCTATGCTCATGATGCGCTCGCGGCCGTTTCGCTAGCTTCACATATACAAACTCGGTATTATGCGATGCGAATGGACGACATAGGTAAATGACACATCCAAACATGATAATCACGAAATGCGCGTCATGTAACAACATGACTACATGCCACACTTATGATGCTCTCACGGCCGTTTTGCTAGCTTCATCAACATAATCATCATCAGCCAGACTACGTTCACTGCAGGACAAAGGCCCTCATGTTCCGCCAGTCAACTCGGTCCTGTGCTTGCTTCTGCCAATTAATACCCGCAAACTGCTTAATCTCATGTGCCCACCTAACCTGCTCTCTCCCCCTAAGCCACTTGCCTTCTCTGCGAATCCAGTTAGTTACCCTTAATGACCAGTGGTTATCCTGTCTACGCACTACATGCCCGGCCTATGTCCATTTCCTGTTCTTGATTTCAACTTTGATATTCTTAACCCCCATTTGTTCCCTAATCCACTCTGCTCTTTTGTCTCTTAAGGTTACACCCACCATTTTTTTCTTTCCATTGCTCGCTGCGTCGTCCTCAATTTAAGCTGAACCCTCTTTGTAAGTCTCCAGGTTTCTGCTCCGTAGCTAAGTACCGGCAATATACAGCTGTATATACCTTCCTCTTGAGGGATAGTGGCAATCTACCTGTCATAATTTGAGAGTGCTTGCCAAATGTGCTCCAGCCCATTCTTATTCTTCTAGTTACTTCAGTCTCGTGCTTCGGCTCCGCGGTTATTACCTGCCCTAAGTAGACATACTCTTTTACAAGTTGAAGTGCACTATTACATATGTCAAAGCGCTGCTCTCTTCGGAGGTTGTTGTACATTACTTTTGTTTTTGCAGATTAATTTTAAGACCCACCTTTCTGCGCTCCTTGTCTAACTCCGTAATCATGAGTTGCCATTCGTCCCCTGAGTTACTCAGCAATGCAATGTCATCGACGAGAAGGGCACGAAACTACATGATTATTATCGCTCTCAGCTTGTCAGTTAACAAAGATTTATGAATCAATTTTTCAGTGACTGCAGAAAGTGGATATGTTTGTATCGAAAGTTGGTGGCAGTCGCGTTTATACACAGCTCCATTTGAAATAATTCATCTAGCATGTCCATATCCCGTGATATCATGCTTCAAAGTTTGATTGCATTTTTCAAGATTAAGTATGCAAGGCGGTGAAGACCAGTGCAATGTTACTCCCCGATGTTACGAACAGTCATACCTTGCCGGCCAGTAGTAAAAGGGTGACCGTTATCACCTTGCAGCTGCCATGCCGATGTCTTCAATCACGAGTTCCTAGGATGCCGCAACTGCTTGCGAATGCTTTGCTGATGCCTTCACTCATGAGTTCCTAGGATGCTGTTTTTGCGAGTGCTCCGTGAAAAGCTTTGGGAACGCACAAAAGTTTTCCAGATAAATTTTCAAGTAAAACAATTAAGAGAGTTTTAATCAACTTCCACCCAATAATCTCTAAAGGTGTCTTTATTATCGCAAATTAACGTATATTCCGAAGTTTAAATTTGTCCCCTGAGTAACTCAGGGGACAAATTGCAACTCATGATCACACAGTTAGACAAGCAGAGCAGAAAAGTAGATCTTAAAATTATTCTGCAGAAAACAAAAGTAATGTACAACAACCTCGGAAGAGAACAGCACTTCGATACAGGTAATAGTGCACTTGAAGTTGTAAAATACTATGTCTACTTAGGGCAGGTAATAACGCGGAGCCGAACCACGAGATTGAAGGAACTTGAAGAATAAAAATGGTTAGAGCACAATTGGCAAGCACTTTCAAATAATGACAGGTAGATTGCCACTACTCCTCAAGTGGAAGGTATATAACAGCTGCATCTTGGCTATATTTAGCTGCGGAGCAGAAACCTGGAGACTTACAAAGAGGGTTCCGCTTAAATTGAGGACGACGCAGCGAGCAATGGCAAGAAAAATGGTAGGTGTAACCTTAAGAGACAAGAAGAGAGCAGAGTGGATTAGGGAACAAACGGGGGTTACGGGTATCATGGTTGAAATAAGGGCTGATATGCACAAAACTTAAAAAAAGGTCATCTTCAATTCTTCACTACATTTTTTTTTTGTTTCGTCGGTTTAAATCTAGCTTTTCGTCGTCACCTTTTGTGAGACGTTATAAGCTTTACGTATGTGCATGATGTAGATAGTTACAAAGTACACAGTCATTTTGTTACGCCATTTGCCTGACACATCACTATGTGTTAAACATGAGGGGGTGTGTGCTTTATTTCAGCATGCGTGTTCCATGCGTCACTAATCCTTTTATTTGCCACGGCTACCGCAATACTGCAACCCAGCACAGCTCATTGTGGTTAAATTGTTGGATAGATGTGGTACCCGAGGTTGGGTTAGCACGTATAATCAAAGCCCCGTGTTTCCTATCGAATTTCTATTCGATTCAGTTAGAGCCTTCGTCAAAAAGAACAATTCCACAATGTACAGATTCGTAAGAACAATAAATGCAGCCTATATCATAGCAGACGTCTGCTTATAAAGGAACAATATTAGTATATCACAGCTGCTTTTTTTTTCCTTTGCTAAGCTATTCTACGTATAGGAGGTCGGCTCTGTGCAGATTGTTTTGCAAGGAATTGTGTGCATAAAATGAGTGAACTATTGTTGTTCCCATCATCTACCCTGCGCAAATTCAACGTCTGCGTGCTTCAAGTGCTATACAGAATATATGTGCTAACTGTGCGTTCTTCCAGAAAGAACATGAAAAGATTTTTCCTACCATCCTACTTCTCGCTTATTGCAGTCTGCTTGAATGTATGTTCCCCATGATAAAAAGACGTACGACATTGAAAAGGTACTTATGTAACATTTAATTTTTAATCTCTAATTCAGGCGCCACTAATATGCACTGCACCATATTAATTATCATTTCTTTAATAAATAAACATACCTAGAAACGTTTGCTGATCTTTCAAACTTGTGTGTGGCACAAAAAATACTCTGGCCTATTCAACCCAGTGCTAATTTGTATGGCGTTTGGAAATCACTGATGGTAAGGGCATTATAACGGCTGGAAATGTTTTTTCATTCGACTTCACGATGACTTTTAAGTAGATTTTGTTTCAAGCAAACTTACTTTGTTTATATACATATGCAGTGCTTCCTATGTCATTTTTGCAGACGTAGAAAGCTGGCTCGATTGTGATATATTATTTTAAATAGATTAATATCACCTGCACAATCTAGCCTGACAGCTTTATAGCTCCCGGTGCATGCCAAAAAACAAAGTGTTCTTAGTGTGGTGCAATGTATATTTCCTGATAATGGGGAGAAGTGAAAAGAGTGAACAGGAAAGGTGGCGTTTTCTATGTAGGCACGAATGCAACATACAAGAAGTTTTGCGTGACCCACGCTATTTGTTCTCCATTCACCCTGGCCCAAGCTCCGGGCACATTCTTCATCCGCTCTGACAAGCACCTGCCCAAGCAATAGCATTCAATGTGGAACATTGCATTACACAAGACGCATATTGCATGTCACTGCTACAATATTGCTTGGGTGATTTGCTCTTTGATTGCGTGTAAAATGTTTGGTTGGGATAGTACTTGATACACCAAGCATATGATCCTTGGTTTCAATAAGCTGGATAAAGCTGCGTGCTTGCGAGCACCGCCGCGGTGGTCTAGTGGCTAAGGTACTCGGCTGCTAACCAGCAGGTCGCGGGATCAAATCCCGGCTGCGGCGGCTGCATTTCCAATGGAACTGTAAATGTTGTAGGCCCGTATGCTCAGATTTGGGCACGCGTTAAAGAACCCCAGGTGGTCAAAATTTCCGTAGCCCTCCACTACGGCGTCTCTCGTAATCATATGGTGGTTTCGATACGTTAAAGCCCATATATATCAATGAATCAAAGGGTGCACGCAAATAGAAATGTTCGTTGCTCTCTTTGTCACTTCCCAATCTGCGTGCCCCGCCGCGTTGGTCTAGTGGCTAAGGTACTCGGCTGCTGACTCGCAGGTCGCGGGATGGAATCCCGGCTGCAGCGGCTGCATTTCCGATGGAGGCGGAAATGTTGTAGGCCCATGTGCTCAGAATTGGGTGCACGTTAAAGAACCCCAGGTGGTCTAAATTTCCGGAGCTTTCAACTACGGTGCCTCTCATAATAATATGATGGTTTGGGACGTTAAACCACACACATCAATCATCAAATCATCAAATTATTCCCATTCTGTGCACATGCAGGCCCTACAAGTGCAGCCGGCGAAATAATTCTCAGGTAAGCATCGCAGTAGTAATAAAGCCTTCTTACGTTTCTTGCAGTTTTTCTTGACAAAATCATTCATATGGACGTATAACACCTCCAGAGGAGCTGCCAGGACCTGCCAAGTGGACAGAGTCACGCATATAAACGATACTACAGTTACGTTCAAGCGCTACTTCTACAACGTTTTTCATAGGAAGTATGTTGCATTATTGCCGCATTTAGGAACCACTAACGTCATCTGTTTTTGCAGGACAATGATTCCATTGGAGGGAACATTGTATTTTGACAGAAAAGACCTATTGATTGTTCGTGCGCCAGGTAATGGGAAGTGTTTAATTAACTCCATCTAATAGCATGTGCAAGAGGACAATGCTAAGTACGTAAAAACTTGTGGATTCAGAAAACATTTACCGTAGATATAAAATGCATTCCCACTTCGTTAGGTTCAGACTTCTGTAAAACACATCCACTAGAAAATTATACTTTTAGAATTGCTTGTGAAAGATGCAATTGCTTGATTTTCTACCTCGAACAATATTCCACGATTTCAGGTTGTGCTAGTAGGCCGTATCATAACAGCCCAAGTTTACATAGTATTCACACTTTTAAATTGAAGCTTCACCTATTAAGAAATGATGTCTTGCATGAGGAATACATTAACTTGACTCAGACGTCCACGAAATACTCATGGAACTGCTCCATGTCACACGGCCATGTTGGCACCTTGTCATTGCGTGACCGTTAAACAAAATCGTTATGGTCATGTATTTCAGCGTTAGAACTTTTGTTGCAAAAATGAGGACGGAATCACTAATATAGCACTCTTTCATTTGTATGCATTTGATCACCAGTCACGTAGTTCATCGACTAACAATTATTCATTGAATTTCAACTGGTGTAATTTGGTGTCTATTGATTTGATTCGGTCAAAAATTACAGGTTAACTGAAACGTCTAAAGTGATTCATAAAAAGTTTCAGTATGCACATTTCATATTTTAGCAATATTAGGTCGGTTGTTGTGTTTAAAGGGACTGTCTGCCGTCCTTCACTACTATTCTGTTTTGTGTCACAATAAAAAACATACCACCTTAAGTGTCTAATTTTGAAGTGGTTATCCGGAAAATGTGCAAAAATTTTTAAAACAGGATGTTTTCAATCTGTGTTAGGCCTCTTTGTATCGCTAGGATAAATGCCCTCGACACTTGTTAGTGGACGCGTTAGCAATCGTACTGCCGGTGAAAATCTAAAGCTAAAACCAACCTGTGGATCTGCCGGCCTAATGAAGTTTTCATTATTATAAAAGCAAGTAATAACAAGTGTAAACCTAAAACTAAATTAAAAAGTAAATAAATGTAAAGGTGCAGGTGCGATCAAATCTGTGTAGACGAAATTATTCAGCTTTCCTACATCAGGCGAAGCAAGGAAATATGCCTGAGCCAGCACTCGATGATGCTTGTCATAAAAAATGAATATTCCGTCACCACTTAGAGTGACGTGATATAAATCCGTAAAGGGCATGTTTCGTTACAAGGCAACAGCCAGGAAAAATCTTTTACGTTTCCAAGTGAAACGACGTGACCGCGTCACTTTTATAGTTTACGTATTATTACGTTTTACTGAATAAGAATAAAAGAGTAGCTTCACCATACCCAGAGTAAGACGAAGAACAATCTTTTTTTTTCACCTGGCATTACCATGACAACATTCTTGTAAGAAAATTACAGACATGTAACGCCGACGTAATTCCTTGCTGAGCAGACTCAAATAGGCTGTTGCAAATGTTTACCTGGAACGGCCCCCTGACTTAGTACTCTCATAGAGATCATTCCTTAACAATGCATCTAAAAGTGACATGTTCTGAATCTTCTTTATTAACTGTTCCATGAAACACCTGAGTGAAGAGAAATGAGCGGGATTAACACGAATATCTCTCGTGAGATATTCATTGTGTACCTAACTTCTGTGCACTCTTGCCATCACCGTCTCTATCACGTTCTCTTAATGTTTAAATTGTTAGCCGTGCCAAGCATAAGGTATCTACGCATCAGTCGAAAACAAAGTGAGCTGCTGATGAACGCAGCTGAAGTTAAAAAAAATTGGCCCGAATTTGCATGTTACACTGCAAATTTCCTCGAAAGACGATAGTCTTGCGTCTGGAGAGAGTTAACAAAACGTTTATTTGATGTTCTACGCAAGAAAATCGGTGAATAGTATTCTGCAGGCACTGTGTTAAAGTGCCTCGAGTGTGTAGTGGAGGCAACGAGCGCATCGAGGCACGTTAGACACGAGCGCCATCTGGCAGTTATCTTAGAAAACGAAGGAAGGCTTGCGCGCCTGCGGAGAAAGATGCGTGCTATTCTCGGAGGTGATAAGGTGAAGAACGCAGAGTAATGGACAGGTGCTACCACCATGTCATCGTAGCAAAGCGTTGGAAAAACTTACCTTTATGAGCATCGCGTTGCACTGTCAGCGCAGCGCGATAAACGCTACAGTCCTTGGAGTTACTTGTGTGTGCCTCTTCTAGTATAAAGGCAGACATGCGAAACATAGACTTGTTGTTATGGCCCCTTTGATATGCGCAATACTTGCTTTTTAATTAATAATCGCACAACTATGAACTCTAAACCTTGAGCAATATTCATGGGAGCTGCGGATGGAGTGGGCCATTTAAGGCCGTATCGTTAAGGGCAGACATGCAGACAAACGTATATATAGACAGACCAAAATATTTCCGTCGAAGGTCCCCAAAAAAAGACTATCGTCTTTAAAAGGAAACGAGCTGGTCATATCGGCCGCGTGGTGGTAGTTTGCGATAACACCTAACGTGCGAGGCCTGCTGTAGATTATTGGACAAGCCTGAGACAACGCTTTTTCGCACAGAGCATGATATAACCGCGATTGCGTGAAGGGAAGCACTAACTTTCGAGTGTTTGTTCACCTTATCCGACATCAAAATTGAAGTCTTACACAAAATTTGCCACTGGTATTGTGTACGAATTTCCGCTATTCTGCAGTAAGACGTTTGCTGGCCAGACGGAAAGGTGCGTCAGTAAGAGTGCGCGGGATTACTAGGTTTTGCTAGAAGGTGAAAATGGGGCACATTTGCTGACGCGCTGCAATTCTGAGAAGTGTGAGCCATGCCTGAATAAAATTCAGATTGTCGGCAGAAGCAATGACAAAAGGGCTCAGGAATTGTTGGAGCCATTCCACGCGACGTTCCTTATGTTTTGATACGTCAGTGTCTCGGTCACAAGCAGTGATAAAGTGCTTAGACCACAGGTTGCGAATAGTCTGGTATACGCGCTTGATGTCTGCCTAGCTTGCAACGCGTGTCTGTACACGCCTCTCCGTTTGATGCAAGACCTGATGAATCAACAGTTGAAACTTTGGGTTCCCCTCGTTATCTTGTCGCGCAAAATAGCAATGTTTTGGGGCTGGTACACCAAACGCAAATTACTTCGAGATTGCTGTTAGTTGTTCCTTAAGTGTATAAGAACCAACAGCACCCGTATTTCGTGAAGCGAAGGAACTTGAAGGGAGGAGGGAAGGTCAGTCACTCGGACAGCAGCTGTGAAATATCATTAAAAAGGCCTTGTTGGCCGATGTAAGTAGTTGGCTCCTACCCTTGTACGTGATGCTCTCTTGGCGCTCACTTCGTGTTAGAAGAGAGAACACGAAAAGCACTTCACTCCATAGAATAGTCATAATTTTATTTCAGTAGTTTATGCTGAAAGAGGTCGGGTCATTAAAAATCACCTGAAGCCTTAGTTTTTAACGCTGCATTATTTTTCTTTTTTATTCAGTGTTCGCACTTGCGGAGAAATTTTAGGAGAAAGAAACATAGACAAAGGTTTAGTGAAAGGCAGCGACGTTAACCGCAAGAATATTTTTGGTTCGCTATCCTGTACTGGGAAGAGAAAATAAGATAGAAAAGTAAGAGGGAGAAAGAAAAGAATGGGTTTAAAAAAATAGAATAGCACACACACTCAAGCATTGGAGTGCCATAATCGTGTTGAGAGTCTGACCGCAGAAACTACAGCAGCACCTTTGTCACTTTCTTGACTATTCCGAAAACAAATTAATTGTTCCGAAAGCAGCCAGTTGTCGAGCCGTGTTAACATTGACGCAAGTTAGTGTCTTTATGAGCTATACTTAGGACAATCACACAGGAAGTGTGTAGTTGAAAGCTTTCATGTAATGGTGTTAGTTGCACTAACATCTCAATATAAATCATACTCCATGAAGTGCATGGGCAAACGAGCTAGTGGCACAACACTAATAATGTTTAACTCGGCGGACTTTTCATAACTGTTTCACAATACTGGCCTTCAGAGTCTGAATATTATGTCAAGTAATTAGAAGTTTTGGTTGTCAAATCATCATTATTATTTTCACGAAAATGCCTGGAAGGAGTCCTACATGTTTGAACAAGTAGGAATTCATTTCAGTGAGCGCATGTGCGATAAATATTATTTTTAAGCGCACAGCGAAAAGCTTCACACAGTGTTTGGCCGTTACATGATGTGAAAACCAACTGCTTACATCAAGTCTTTGCACTGTAAGCAGCAAATCGTTCATCATCATTGTATTGCTTTTCAGGTTACAAGTATAAGGAGGAACTTGTATTTTATGATGCCCACTTTAAATGCGCCGTGATTAAAATAACAACGCCTTATAGAGGTTTGTGCACACCTTCGCATTATCCGTTAGGAGCTCTATAGATTTTTTTGTTTCGCAGTACTCTTCAAATAACTCAGTTTCGGCATTTTTGACATATATAGTCATGAGCAATGGAACCTTGTTATAGTTCGAGACATTTCACTTTGTTATCGTTCAAGACATAACCACAAGCGGTAAGCGACAGCGTGAAACGTGGGCATGATGGTCATCGTACATTCATACAGAAGCCTACAAAATCTTAGGCAACATGACTACGATCAGTAAGACGTAATATTGCTGGTATTGCGTAACAAAATTATTTTTCATCTAGGAATTTTGAGGCGACGTTGTGTAGTGGTGCCTAAGAGAGCTTTGTGACGGTATATTTTCTTAGACGCCTCCGACACTAACAAGTAAACTTCGTGTTCTTATTTCCGGGGCGCAATAGCTATAGCACTAGTGAGTTTATCATAGCTGCGAATAATAGTTGGAGACGAGTCAATGCTCTCTTTATGCAGTGCGCTGTAAGCGTAACACTTGCATTCAATAAACACTTGTGCTTCTCGCGTTAGTAATTAATAGAACAACCTGATCAAATTCAAAAATGTGCTTATTTATATCTTTCCCTTAGATATAAATTAAAAATAATTTTCCGACAAGAATAGTTGGCCAGCAAAGTTGAATACTTTTGGAACATCCATAACAACATCGATAACAGGCCGTGAACTATTGCGGTCATCCATTACATTCAGTATTTTTCGCACCGTCTTTCCCAAAAAGTGGCGAAACCAGGTGTGAAAGTGGTCTTTGCCGCGCCTCGGAAGTTCTATACCCTATGCAAGCTAACAACAAAATACGTTGTTGGCAGATCAAAACCGGGAACTTGGTTGTACGTCGTGTTGCCAGTGTTGTGTACTGTATCCTGTAACCTGTGGAAAGCAGTATGGCGGGCAGATTGAAGCTCAATAAGTGTGCGCTTGCGGCAGCAATTTTGTCGCGTAGGACTCGCAAGTCTTGGCATTTTAGTACACATGGAAAGAATATGAACGTGCTTCACAGTATAATGATTGCGAACTTGTTTATAGTAGTTGTAATGAGCCGTCGAGAAAGATAGTGGTGGCGGCCAACATGGCTCGTCTGGTAAAGCCAGTCTAAGCAGGCCTATCATTTGCCTTTTTCCTAAATATGCGAATTTTCTGTTTTAGCCCGCCACACTGTTTTCGTTAATTATTCACACGAAATTTTCTGATGGTTCATGATGCCCGAAAACTTACTATCCGTGTCGGCATCCTACGGCATCTGGGAAAACACTAGAAAGTTTAAAAAAATGATCACTGCCACCACACTTCTTCAGTATTTGTGGCATCATCACAATACTTCATAGCTTGGTCAAAGGTGGTTCGATCACGGAAGCAATGCGAAGTGAGCTGAGGAGCCTCTGATCTTGGAGGCAGTCCATTGCCGTGTCGGCTTCACAATGCTTTCGGATGGCGAAAGTGGGAATTTAATCCATAGACTGAGAAGAAAAAGAAAGTGTTTTGCCTAAAACATTGCTGACTCGATATTGTATCCCGGCCATGACAGCTACAGTTTTATGGGGGTGAAATGCTAGACGAAAGTGTACTTTGATATATGCTCGGAACAACAGATCATGAACACTTCTGGAGCGTTTCACCTGGGTTCCCGTTGGTGGATACTTTGCACCCGATTCACTACTTTTCGACCCAACTTGACAACAAAGTTTTCAGTTGGGGCATGGCTGGTTTCTGGCTACTTTTCGACTTCTTATTTTACCTAATCAAATTCGATTCGGCATAGAAGAGGCAAGGAGAGAAAAAAGAAGGAAAGCCACTTCGAATAAAAACACTCGTCTTGCAACTGCGTTTATTCCGAAATCGCCTCATCAGGAAAACATATGCGCAAGCGCAGTCACACGAAATTGTCACTCCACAAAAAAACTAATATCTGAGTAAACAACGCCTTTATAACACGGGTACGTTTAATCAGTTTAAAGGCCTAACTGCTTCGAAGAGAGCTTATTTCCTTCGAAATAAGATGCACTGAAGATTTCTTATGCACGCTTCTACAGCAATCTTATTCTGTAACGCCTCTTCAATCTCTCTAACATGCTTGCCCTTATCTCTCTTTCATGTCTACCCTTTGGTTTTACATATTTATCGATAGCAAGCAATCCTATATGAGGTGACATGGCCCTTTGGCTACATTTAGCTTGAGGTTTGGCGTCTTTTCCACTCCGCCCAATGGCAACTCTTCTCCACACTATGGCGTCACTAGAAACATATCGTGGGTATAGAACGTAAAACAACAACAGTTATCATTATTAGAGCTTTCTTTTAGTGCTATTTTTTAATAAGTGCTCATTTTGTCATTGTGCCTTTTTTCTGCAGTTGTGTTATAGCGCACATCTGGCTTCATGGCATGCTTATAAGTGGAGTTTTCATCAAGTTTACTTCTAAGCCAATGCTTAAGTGTGTGTGACATCACTTTGTTCTTCGCCTACTACGCCGTAAGCCATAATGCCTAATGAACGTGAATTTGACTGTCTGCGTCTAGCGTCGGTGCCACTTCGCGTCCCGTGGCGTCTGGGACGAGCGCTGCGAAAATTCTTTATCACATGATGGCGTTAGTATACTACGTGATCAAGAGCACGCCTGCGCTTATTTAAAAACACACAGAAAGTACAGTAGTTTATTACAAGTAGCAAAGAGGAAACCAATGAGGGCGATTGCCTGCAAATTTTGCTAGGCAAGATCCGACGGCTACCTGCAACATCCTAATACTAATCACGATATAAGGTCACATAGTCGAGTGTTCACCACAGTTCCGGGGCACCCGCACACATAACTGAAGCAAGACATGAAATTGAACGTAGATAGGAGCACGTCTATTGCTGGCTTTCCGTTTCTTCGTGTTCTGTTTTTTATTTGAGACAAAGAATTGAGGCAATAGCAATTTTTCTTTCCCACAGCAGAGTGAATTGCTCAGGCTTCGTGCGCAGGTGTACACAATAGCATGCATGTGTGTAACTGAAGTTTTGTTGCCCTTTGAATTTCAGCCCCGTTAAAGTACAGCACTGAAAAGTTTCGAGGGTGTTAGGGACTTTCTGCTTCACCCCCCCCCCCTCTCTTCTGGCTAAGCCCGATGGGGGGGGGGGGGGGAGAGCGGAAGAGGTTTTTCTCTATGTAGGAGGCTCAAATACCGAAATTCACTTGGTCATTTATGCTTTCGCTTAGGACGACTCGAAGAAGAAGCTATAGTGATCGTTTTTTTTCCCCTCAGTTGCTGTTTTGATGCTGCATCGCTACTTTTCCAAAGCTTCTTATGTCAATAAAGGTTTTGCATTGCCTCTGTGATCGAACCATGCTTGACTAAACCCCGATGAAATGTGATGACATGACCGTGTGACGTTACTTCACCTTATGTTTTCGTGGCGTCATAACGACGTCACAAATTAAGATGATGTGAGATGGTGTCATTACGTCATAAGGTAACGCAATTTCAGGAGACATTTATGCACCACTCGTCAATTATCTATTTTTTTCTCTCTCTTTGTAGCTGCATTCGCTTGTACAATAAGGTTGTTTTAATGATGTAAAGATTTGTATTCAGGTTTACCCATATCCATCAAATTTGATTGATGTAAGTCACCACTGTCTACGTTTGCCAACTATGCCTTTTTAACTGTACTGCAGCGTTAGCCGTCCCTATATCGGTGGTGTTTATACATTGTTGATAGGTGGCAACATACTACAAGCGGTTTTTTTTTGTATCGCCTTGTTGACAGCAGATGAAGGTATCGCTCAGAACTTTTTGGAGGAAATGTTCTGAGAGCCCGAAAATAATTTTTTATTGCAAACATATTACCGTAGAGGAGCCCAGAGTTCAGGGAGGAGGACATTCTTTACATTTATTTCAGCAGTGGCATTGAAAGCAATCGTAAAGACGGGAAAAATATGAACGTGTCAGTCACACCGACGAGGAGCAGGATGCTGAAAACTCATAAGGAGCGAGATACAGTTAACGTGCCCTCCAGCGTTATTTGTTTGTTTGATTTTCTGTTTGTTTGTTTGTGTGTGTGTGTGTTTGTTTGTTTACACAATCCTAAGCCAATGTGAGAGCATTTAAGGCACAATATTGATGAAGGGAAACATAGCGCAATTATATTCGATGCGTGTACCTCCACTCACTGTGAGGTTTTAATGTTTCAAGGAGCTGATCAAGCCTGCAGCATCCTATATAAGCGAAATGCGCACGTCGGTGGTATGACACGACGGTATGATTGTATAACAGTTATTCAAGTGCTACAGACTGGGTTGTTGAATGGTTGCGTTCTGTTGAAGTAACCACTCGTGCCTGCCTGCACAAATAATGATGACAGTGAGTCATCTTTAGAAAATATCGTCAAGTTATGAGTGCGGTCCCGGCAGCATGGTGGCGTTACTCGTTGTCGCTTATTAACGGCAAGTCTGCTACGCAGGCTCGGTACGTACCTTGCAGTGCCACTGATTTTATAAGTCAGGCATAGTTCACACAGTTTTCACGCAAAAGCAAAAAAGTGTCTATCGCACAAAAGCCGTCATCGCGGAACCGAAATATAGCGTATCGCAGAGTGGCTTGAAAATAGATGGAGAGATATTTCGAACTTCTCACGATGTGGGTGAATATTTTGGTCTAATATACGCTTCATTGCAGCTACAGCTAATGTCGAGAGTTACGCTGAAAGCGGCATGGAGTTCGCCTCCGCACCTATTGTATGTCCGCATTCCAGTAGATAGTTTTACACTACTCCAGCCGTCATCTTGAATGACAAAATAATATCACAATTACCAATATCTAATGTATTGGGATTACTACGCTGCTGTGTATTTACATTCATACAATTGTCTGTCACAAAGTCTATGTTAGTATCATTGATCTGCGCATTTGTCTTTTATAGGTGGGGTTGTGACGCATGACTTGCGCGTTTGGAACGCTTACATGAAGTTTGGCCCGGCGTCTGACTGTGTGAAAAATTCAGCAAGAGAGAGCCCCATGGCGGGTCGTTTATTCACGCAAGTGTCGTGGCATTGTGGACGGCCTCGAGCCATTACAACTTCCACAAATGCAGCCGCAAAAACTAGAATAGTAACACGAGTCGTTCATACGTGCCACTGCACGGCATATTTGTCTATGAATGTATATACATTGATTAGCTTGTCGATGTGCCCTAGAGTAATAATAAAAAACATGTATGATTGAGCGTTCTTCCGTACCTTCACAATAATTATTGCATCAAAGTGGGCATATATCTTAAACAATCGTCTTAACACCCTCTTTAAGTTGAGAATATATGACATGAGCGGAAACTCTCCAGAATTTCAGCACCTAATAGCGACGTGAAGCAACTACATCTACGGTAATCACTGGCTCTTGTGAAATGATACCAGCCTTTACTTATATTCAAAACTTTTCCCAGTAAAACACATGTAATATGTAGTCAGGCTGTTATTGCTCAGTATTCGAGTGCCTCTTTAAGAGAATTCACTCAGGCAACAGAGGCGAATGTCGTCCACTATTCGGTCTCCCTCTTCAAAAGCCTGGCTCCTCTTCTTCCTCATCTCTTCCTCTTCATATTGCTCCCTTGACGTTTTAGACTCACAAAGCTTCATTCTGCTAGACCTCATTGTGAACACCAGCTCGTGTTATATTAAAGAGACAACAAAGATAAATTTTATGTCAATGCTGACGGCTGAAATTGTGGTGCATAAACCTCGTAGTGGTTGTTTTTACATAAAATCCCGTTTTAAAGGTCCGGATTGCGTTAGTGCACTTAAAGTCAGCCGCCTGTAATCAGTTTTTATCGGGTCACTGTTGCCTTGCCCAACGTTACCCGTCTTTGCTGTGCGGCCACCGGCACTTGTAGCAGCAGAGTTAAAGTACCGGCAGCCCCAGCTGTAACTATGGCAATTGAACCATTTTCGGCTTGCTTGGTTCGACTTGGCCCCCCTACATGGCGCCACCTATGCAGCCTAACCAGGCGAAAACAGAACTTTTGGACGACTCGTGCTATTCTCCATACTAACTTGAGGCGTTTTTTTTTTTTTGCATAAAAAACAAAAACCAACAAGCAGCGTTTTATTATGTCTCTCAGTGCACGAAAAGTTGTTTTTTTTTTTCATTGCGCTGGCTTTATCATTACTGCATGATTGTAGTAGGACGCTCGCACGTCATCGGGATGAATTCCAAAATGCAAACTCATAGCAAATGTCATATGACATTTAGCTTAATTTCTCGATAAGTAGTGCGTTGCTGTTGATACTATGCTCTTTTAGACATTGTCATACATTGAGCTTTCAGCCTGTCATAAATTGTTATTTGCCTTTAGCGTCCCTTTAAAGATAGAACTATGAGTGCGCAGTCTTTCTGCCGGGATGCCCCCAGGTACAGGATGGTTTTCAGCATGCCATGGTGCGAAGCCGTGTTCATTACTTGCAAGGATGCACTAAACCTAAAATAAAAAGCTTTGAGTTTACCATATAGAAAGCTTCGAGTTAGCTTCGAGTTTAAGCTTATCTAAAAATAAAAGCTTCCAGTTTAATCATACCAAGGCAATTCGGCAGTGTTCGTACTGCGCACATACGCACCCACCGTACGGCTGGTATCCATAAGCATGAACATATGATTAATAGTGCATATCAGCGCAAATAACACAGGCGGACACAATAGAAGACCCAGAGCACCAAAATTCGAACAATTCAGCACCTTGGAAAGCCTTCGATTTTTACACAGTGATATCCTGTTGCGACAGCAATTCGCTGGACATAACGATATTACAAGAAGTCATCACACGGAAAAGCATAGGCCAGCTTTTTTATATTAGTGAGCGTGACAGAGGATGTACTTACGCAATGAACCTTAAAATAAATATTCTCTACGTCGATGATATCGCACGTAGTAGAATTTCCGCGTATTGGGACAATACTACAATCGGAAAAGTTTGTCCAACACCCACAACTTGGGGTCAAAATAAAGGTGGTTTTTGGCTTATTGTTGTTTTATTGTTGGCATAAGCCAGAAACCACCTTTCTTTTGACCCCATCAACAATATCATATAATCCCTGCATGAGAATGGCTCTTCAATCCCAAATATTTAATCCGCATTTTTCACTGCATGTGAAAAAAAAAAAAGAACAAGCTAGATTGTTGTAGTTTCCACTAAAGTTCCAATGCTTACGGCCGCTAAATAGGCTTCGCTTTTGCTGCTTTGATAACTTTTAAAAATTTTATTTCTTTCGGCATTGTTTTCTTCATTCATTCTGTGTTTTTTTTGTGTTGATTTGCGTTCTCTCTACACATATTTCGTTATCTCTTCTGTTTTCGTTTTGTTTCTCTCTGCAGTTATTTTTTCAATTTCTTTGTGGTCATCCTTCCTACCCTACTCCTTTCTCTCCTCCTCATCATTTTACCTCTACTACTCAGGCTCACTTCATTTACTTTCCACCGGGCTAACTACACTATACAGTACTTGTTCTATGCCCTGTTAGCGAGCTCGGAAAGCCGGGTAGCGAAGGCGTTCGGCATTCCAGGAGTGCGGGTTCCGGGTTAGGGTACCCGATTTCGTATACCGTCTCATCAAGAGTTCCTTACCGGTAAGAATTTGTCTTGCTTTTTCTTTACATCTTTCTTTCTGTCACTATTGTTCTTTCTTTCTTTTTGTTCTCGTTCTCTGACAAATAAGGGTTATTACAAGCCATGCCGGAAAAACCGTCACATATCTGATGATAGCAAGCAGAAGACGACGAAGAGAGCGTGTGCCAATTCATGCTGAACCTTTAGGGCCATGTAATTTTACGCCGCACCAAAACGGCTTCTGTGTTCATAATGCACTAAGAAATCACTGCCCCGACAGATGCCGGAGAATGTCTTCGTATGAATATATTATCCTAAACAATGGGCGAAAACAATGTGAGCACGCTGAGCATTTTTTTAAATCACAGTCGCGAATTGTATTTGGTGTTAAGTATTTTTTTTTCGTCTTGTTTTTTTTACAAATGGCATATTGTTATCGTTGAAATGCCTGCTCCAGCTTCAGTGCGACTATGTGTACAAAAAATACCGTTGATTCAGCAGCATGAGAGGGAAGGAGTTTTGTGCAGTGCTTCTGGTTGCTGTCTATATTGCAGTGCTCGAATGTAAGCTGCCCATTTTCGGAGCCAGAAATACAACATGGCAAAGGTAACGTATTCCGTTTGTCAAATCTCGTGCATCCTTGTTATATCCCTTGTATACAAGAGAAATACAGAAATAGACAGAGGTGCCCCGTAACTTCAGCCAGAGTTTAAAATATCCCGGCACACGCAATTGAGACGCGACCAGATGCACGTTTCAGCGTTGCTTGGAGTTAGACTATTTCTTGTGTTGTCAAATATTGTTTTTAGATACATTTAATTACCGAACTCTTGCAAATTATTATTTAAAAGATCTTTTGGTTACCTAAATCTTTCAATTAGGAAGTTTTAGATTGGTTTGCAAAACGTCCGAATAGATATATTTGAACCTTATATCAGTTGAGTAATAGTGTTTTTCTGTTAATTACAAATGTCCACCAAATCCAAAAAATACCACGGGACAATGGCGCTTGCGCGTCAGTGCGCACGATGATTTTAGTGATCCTTAAAGTTCCGAAGAATAAGTGCATTAGCACATGCTCGGCACATGTAAGGTTTCCACAATACGCCTTGACAATGATGCTGAATAGGGAGCTCTTAGCACATTTAAGGTACTCGATGACGATGACGACAATGAAACATTCTGCCACAGATGAAAACGAACGTAAGGCTGAGAACACGTTCGCATATGCACAGCACATGCAAGGTGCCCACAATGCCTTGACGATGACGCTGACGACGATAACGAAGAAGTTTATAGCACATTTAAGGTACCCGATGATGATGATGACAATTGAACATTCTCCTTCTGCTGTGGATGAAACGAACATAAGGCGTGAGAAACGTATTATATGCACAGTACATGTAAGGCACCCCCAATAGGCCATGACGATGGCACCGGTGACGGTGAAAAGATGATTATAGCACATTTAAAGTACCCGATGACGATGACGACAATGGAAGATTCTGTCATGGATGAAAACGAACGTAATACAGGGGAAACGCGTTAGCATATGTGCAGCACATGCAACTTGCCCACAATACGCCACGACTATGACGCTGGTGACGATAACGAAGAAGCTCATAGCACTTTTAAGCTACCCGATAACAATGACGAACGTGAAACATTCTCTTTCTGCCGTGAACCAAAACACACTTCATGTGATGGAAGCAGCGGGAAAGCAAGAAAAACGCCAGGCATACTTAGAGTTGAGAGACTTGTACTTCTCGGAGATTTCAACGTTGCATCGCGGACAACGACCCTCTTGTATACTCTATGACGTTTCGATATGCCCTACGATGCACTTAGTATAAGTGGAAGACAACCTACAAACCTTATGGGACCGTGTATAAGCTTCGTCTTTGCCAACTTCAGGTTAGATTCAACAGACAAACCACTGACTGTATATTTCACTCACTACAAAGCAGCACTAATGAAACCAAACAAAAAGTGACACCGAACACAACATAGCTGTAATGACCAATAACTATTAACGTACACGGCTTTGTCACACATTAATATTCGGTAATGGGCAACGTCGCGGGTGATTTACGGTGAGACCGAACGATCCCGCTGCTTCGTCCACTCATCACCATTCGCTTCGTGAATATGCCGTGAATTGTCCCTCGTTTAAATACTGTAACACTGCAGACCAGGTGTACGGATATAGCCACATGCGTTCGGAGGCACGACTGTGACAATGCACGTGAGATATTTATAAGTTATTCGCGTCCCGACCCTACAGCCGTAATTATCGAGCCCTCTTGACGCCGTATGCCAATTTTTTTCTATACTCATTCAAGGAGCCAGTCACAAGAACACTCAGACGTAGGTGGTTAATATTATAATTTATTT